CGGTTTACTGCGAGGCCACACTAGCGTCGTCGATTTGTTGGAAGCCTCGTACTGCCATCGCATGTACAGAAATAATTGTTTCTGACCGAATTCTTTTCGCAAAATCACAAATCACCCCTTTCATTGTCAATTGCACTCCCCAAAAACTTACGATGTCGGAGCATAGATAACATTTGGGCACCCACGAGGTGGAGGCACCCTATAGCGTCCACTTTTACCACCTGATAATGCGCTGGCGATAAAAAAACTGAATAGGGCGTTACATTGCCAATGGGGCTTATTGCGGTGTAGTTAGGAAATTTTTAGATGCTCGAATCTGAAGTTGCCGAGACTCCGGTCTTCGCCATACTTTTGAATCTCGCATAGATTATGTTGTCTGTAATTGCTAGCCTCCTATTCACGAAGCCTTTACGTCTCGTCTTGAACTAGTGGTGGGAATGTCCGAGGCTCCGATTCACTCTGAGTACTACTACTCTCCAGATAAAGCGGTATTCAATGACTGTTCCTTATCTGAGCTCACTTTTAGTTCTTCCGCTGTTTGAGCAATCCACGGCTTGCGAGGAGTTCGTGTAGACTGCAAAGGCAGGCCGTCGGTAGATTTGAGATGCAACATGGATTGATGCTTTTCGTGTTTTCTACTATGGGAACTGTTGGACTGGAAGTGTATTTGACGTTTTCGAATTATATTATATATTTATATATAGGTATAATATATATGTAATATATTTATATATATATTATATTTACATTAAGTTCCGAATACTTGCTGATATATGGATATATATTGATTTATAATTTGTAGATGTACATATATATATATATATATATATGTGTGTGTATGTCCACTTAAAAGTATTTATGTTTATAATATCAGCAGCTGCTCCATAGGACTTTATGAAGCCTCATAATTTTAAGCTTCAACTTATTTACTTAGCATTTAACTACAACGTCATATAATATAAATTTTAATGCCCAACCCCGACCAACCAACACTCTTGTGCTTTGCCCTGCATTGAGGAGCGCACGTTTGCAACGTTAGCGTACAGCGTTCGCAGCGGCAGAAGTTAATGCGACTCATCCATCAACGCTAATTACCCTAAATTAATTAAAGTAAATAAATTCAGCAGTCATAAAGCGTTAACAGCGCAAACAAATAAAGCAACCGTCGGCTTAAGAATTTGTCATTTGATATTAAATACCGTAATTAAAGAGACGACACAGCGTTGATAAATGCGGCGCAGTGCGGCATTGTGATGATGAAAGCAACAAAAATAAGAAAAACGAAGGCAGCCGATGAATTGTACAATCACGTATCTATGTAAGTCATGGGATAGTAGCAACAACAACAATATAACTAAAATGTTGTAGTTGCATTTGAGGGTGCTGGATGTAAGGGTGAAAGGCAGGGTAAGGACAGGAATTTCAAAAAAAACGTGCAACAATACGGTTATATTTCAATTTATTTGCTGCTTTAGGTGCTGCTGCTACTTAAAAAAAAAATTGTACATATGTACTTTTGTTGCTCCTCAACATTCACTTATAAATTTGTTGTCTCAATATTTGATGAAAGCTTCTAATGTTTGCACGTAAAATTTTTCATACGCATATCTTGTCGCGTGAGCTTCAGGCTGCTGACAGTCACTGATGCAATAAAGTAACCGTAATGTATCTCTATAAATATTTTATACAATAAACAAGCGCATACACATATGTACATAAGTACATAATTTCAAGCAAAAAAAAAATTACATATTTACGGATGTTTATGAAAGTTAGTGGAAAGGTGTTTACTCACCTTCATGTTGTTTGCTCAGAAGACTTGGAAGATCGGCGTATAAGTAATGTAGAAATACAAATTCGTATTTTTATCATTTTTTTTGTTTGTTTTTTTTTTTTGTTAATTGTAAGTATTTTTTTTTTAATTTTTTCCTGCTTCTGCTTATCTAAAAACCAGCCTAGTACATCACTGTCACACGTGATTCCCGCCAAGTAGGAGTAAAATGAACGTGACGTTGGTAAGTCTAAATATAGATGATGCTAATGTGTATACATACATAAATTTCGGAGCAAAATTAAAAAAAAGCAAATAGTTTTGATGCCCAAATGTGTGCAAAAGCTGATGCTCGCAGCGTATCGCTCGTAATTTTTCATGCCTTACCATTAGTACGCGCCGTAGTGGGCAGATAACCGAGCTATTTTGTTGGAGCGCGGTTAATCAGTTAATATGCGTTACTTGCGCTTTCAAACACCAAATTAACCGCATAATAATGAGCTTTTGTGTGTTTATCGCTTATGGGTTTGAAATGAATAAAAAAACACTATTAATTTAAGTTGAGGTTTTGTATTTCCGCTTATTTAATTTAATCGGTATGCAAAAGGAAATATATAAAACTTTTTAAATTAATTGCGGTTGCCTGAGGGGAAACACAAAAACGATAAGTAGTACAATAACCTTAAAACTTTTGATCGCATTAAGTACCATAATACAAAATATATATTTATTTTTAATTCAAATTTTTTATTCGAATTTTTTATTCGAATTTTTAAAATATTTGTATCAATCAAAATTAAAAATTCTTAAAAATTTAATCCTTCTTTAAACAAATCACATGACAGTTTAGAGCATGCCCGGGTAGCTCAGTCGGTAGAGCATTGGACTTTTAATCCAAGGGTCCAGGGTTCAAGTCCCTGCTCGGGCGGCGCTTATATTTTTTTTATTATTCCTGTTATTATTATTATTATTATTTTGCATTGCTGTAGCTGTGGTACATCTTTATAATACATATAATTGTTGTAAAAGTAAATGAGATTTACTTATGTTGCTAATTTTTTGTCCTCGTAAAAAAGCTCGTGAAAATCCTACAGCCGTTCGGAGTCGGATTTGAATAAACTTTATAGCCGAAAATCGCTTCAGCACTTATAAAACACCAGTTATCATATTTATATTTTTTCTTTAATATTTAATTTTGTATTTTTTTTTGACCTATACGGTTTGAAATAATTATAATTTTGTTAAAAAAAAATTTTAGAATGTTGCATTTAATTTTCAAAAAGTTTTCGAAAAATTTTTTTGCTTCGGACTGTTGTTGCGAGCGAGGTTTTGAATTTTTTTAAAGCATTTATATAAAATATTTTAAACTTATTTCCGTTGATAAAACCCATCGCCGGAAGTAAGTGAAAAATTTAAAGTATATTTGACTATTTACGAGAGAAATGAGATAAAAATTAATTTAATTTCATTGATCGCTTAAGAAAAAAATATTATTATAACTAAATTATTAAAATAATTTTTTTCATCAGTTATAATTCCAATAATTTTCATTATTTTCTGTTCCTAAAAATGTCCTTTTTATCCCTGATAATCCTTGTATTGGCGAAATATCTTTACGAAATTAAATTTTTTTAAACTAGAGAACTGGTTAAAAATAAAATTTCTTATGATTAAAACAATATATAATTTTTGAAAAAAAAAAAAATGTTTTAGCGAGTTAAATTAAAAACATTAAATTGTTTTACAATACTTCAGTAAAAATTGATCAATTTTCTTGTGGTATTTTTTGTTAAAAAACTGTAATAATTATCATTAAAATGAAAAACAGAACTATATCTTAGAGAAAGCATGCAACTCTTTAACTATATTTCTTCTCTAAGCAATATAATAAATTAGGAATGTTTTAAATTATTTTTATCAAAAAAATTTAAAATTTTCACGATTTTAAAAAAGAAATTTCTAGCTGAATTACAAAACATTTAATGTGTATGTATTCTTACAGCATATTTAATTTGATGTTTACATCTAGTTGCTTGAATCTTCATGATAGCTGAGAGGTGAGAGTGTTTTGCTAATGTGCATGAAACTCGTAGTTCGAATCCTAGTGCGAGGAATTAAAAAAAATTTATTAGGAAAAGAAATAAAAAATATAAAAAAAAGAAATATCAAAAAAAAAATAAAAATAAAAAATTAATAATAAAAAAATTAAATATTGTGTATAACTATCTTAAAGTGCTCATATAGCAAGTATATACTTTTCTCCTTCTTGGCATAGAAATTCCTTATCTAAATCTTTTTTTTTTTCTATTAAATCTTTTTTTTTTTAATTTCAAAATAATAGTTTTTTACTATCACTTCAGAGAGTTGTTAAAAGCTGTATGCAACGATTTCTATTAATTTCATAGCTAGTAAATTTTTATTTTATGCATTTCTACTCTTCAGTTAAGCCTAGATCAACACCTAAACATTTTTAATCCTTAGCAATTGGAAGCACCTCATATGCCCGGGTAGCTCAGTCGGTAGAGCATTGGACTTTTAATCCAAGGGTCCAGGGTTCAAGTCCCTGCTCGGGCGGCATTAATATTTTGCCCTTTATTATTTTTATTAATATTATTAATTTATTAAAATTATTTTCTAAACATGATATTTAGTTATATTAATATATATTAAAATTATTCTTTTTTATTATTGTTATTATATATTTCATTACTATTTTTATTGTTAGTATTTAAATAATTTTATTTTTATTATTGCATTATTAGCATTAAAATCTAATTTTTTAAATGAATACATTTCTGAAAATGAAATATATTATATAAAAATTGTTTGGCTACCAGCCGTTTTCGATAATGAAAATGATTAAAAAATAAATGATGTTTGACTTACTATGGCACTGCGTTCTCAAGAACATCACGTTTCTCCTTGTCATTGTGTTGATTTTACCAGTAACGACGAAACTGATAATAATAACTATCGTAAGCCACAAGAAGGAGGAACGTTCAACCATTTAAATCCGGGTTTAGGTGTCCTCCCTCACGCTGTGCTTGATTCTGCCATGGCCATCCTGTTGCCCTTTCTGTGCGGAATTTACACAGTCTGCCTCACACTGGAGCATTTTCTCCATGAGTGAACTTAGCCAAAATTGATTCCTAGCAAACGACGTAAGAATCAGTCATATGAAAATTAAGTATTTTGTACTCTTCAGCCCTTCAAATTTTTTTCATAATTGTAAAAATCTCAGAGAGAATACTCGACGTCTATATATTTTGACCGATACTTCCGAACAGTCTACTGGACAACCCACATACCTGCGCTGAGACGAAAAATGCTAACAATGCTCGACGCGATAATGTGATGAAGATGGCGAAAAGTTTCACCTTCGTGTTTACCTAGACTTTGAGGACACACTAGATAGCTACGACTGGTCTTCAAAAAAATAGGTTTGGATGGGCACTCAGTGAGATTCGTGAACTTCCTTTCAGAAAACAGAGTAATATTAGCTGATTTAGTGTGTTCAACCTTATAAAGGTAAAATCAGTCCTCTTATCCTTCTTTGGTGCCTCAATGTTAATATGTGGCATATGCTGATGACAGCGACTGGAAAACACCACCAATTAGTAGCTGATGCAGTGATTGCGGTATGGATATAAACCTTTCAAAAACGAAAGTGATACTCTTCGCCAAAATACAACAATTGTATGATTTAAAACCCTTCTTTCTACAGAGGCCAATGACTTAAATATATATAGCAGGAGAGATAGAACCGCTCTCTGCTCATGGAAAACGGCTAAGGCAATATTACTTACTGGTTATTCAAAGCGGTTGTAAGATCCAAATGATTCTAAGCAGACAGAGTCTGGTGGCCGATACTTTTAGGAGTAACATGTACAAAGCCCGGTGGAAGGTATGGTAATTCAACGCGTCACAAGATATAAGGCAAGCTGCCTTCATATAAGTATTTTTAATGCATTCATACCAAACTCAAAATTAATTACCTGCAGAAAAATTTTAAACGAAGTCGTGGCGATATGCGAAACGTTCGTGGCGAAACGTATGAGGCTGACGATCTAGAAGTGTAGCGTGCAAACCAAAGGAAATTCTCTATAGACGCTTATATATATATATATATATCTGTCATCAGCTAATTACCAACTAAGATCAGCCCCGGCGTGGATACAAAACAGTTACATGCCATGTTTCGGGGCAGATCTTGCCATAGATGGAAATGAAGCAAATAAGTTCTGTACTTCTGCTTACTTTTATTATTATAGCATAACAACCGGTTTAATAACCGTATACTGATACTGGTAGGAGATTCCCTATAGCTGATAGATATTCTGCTAAAGCTTCCGGGACAAAACCAAGATGGAGTCAGTGCAAGATTACTTTTTGCTCGATTTTTTTATTCTTCTTTTGACCTTGTGATAACTGTGTCAGCTTCTGGACAGCTGAAACTGTCATTAATTTTCAGTCACCGTGTTTTTGAATTTTTGATTATCTAAACACGGAGGTATCAAGCGCTCGTTTCGTCGAAAATAGAATTGCGCTGAATATCAATGGATGACATTGAATAATTTTATACATTTTCATAGGCGTATTAACATTTGAGAAATAAATTTCAAAAACAATTTACACCACCATTTCGATGGAATTGCCCATGCACTAATTTATAAATTACACAGGCATACGCATTAATCAGCAACTGAAAGGCAATTGCACTGCCGCTGCTGTGTTGCTGCTATTACGGCAGTAAACAAAGTCATTTAAAATTGAAATATGGGAGCACAATGCGTGAAAAAACACATACACATGCATATGTATGCATGTATGTACAACGAATATGCCATAAATTATGACAGCAATTATTATTACTGTTGTTTGGGGTTATCAAAATGTAATAAATCAGTTTGTATTGCTGACACATGAGTTAAAATTGCTTAATATTTATATACAGCTGTACATACGTATGTATGCATGTATATATATATATATGTAAGTGTAAAGAGAGGCGAGCAAAAAAATCACGAAATCAACAAGCATACAACAAAGTATCTACGCAAACATGCCTTAGTTGATACACATGGGTAAATATGTAAGTGTGTAAACATAAATAAATACTAGCAAATATTTAAAAATCTCAAGACAAGTTAAAGTATGTAAATACACGTACATAGAATTTTACTTTTAGTACTTCATGTTACCAAACGACGGCGTATGCTTAACTTTACGTTCTACATCACACCAAAAAAAAGGGGGCGCATTGCGACAATCAGTCTGTTGAATGCGCCTCATGAGACATACATATGTATGTACTTATGCGGTTTATCGCATTGTAAATTAACTGTAAAATGAATTTATATTTTCAACACAAAATTTATTGTAACTACGAAATCACAAATCCATGGCATTAAATATTAAACTGGTCGAAAAGAATATGCTACTGGAGTTCCACTGACTAATACGAAAGATACCAAAATTGTATCAAAAAATATTAAGAATATATACATATTAATGTTTTTTTTTTATTCGACAATCAGTAAATTATCAAACAGGTGAAGAAAAGAATTCAGCAGTCTAGGCCCAAACTAGTACCAAAAAGAATATATAATGAATTAAATATTTAATATATTTATAGTTTGTGATTTAACCCAACAAGTTTAAATAATATTTTTTACTTTACATTAAGATTACATATATATATTTATATAATTTTTTTTATTCGAAAAGCAATAAAATATCGAATGGGTGAAAAAGAGAGAAATTCTCCTTTAGAATTTCGCTGACTAGTCTCAAATATGCCAAAATAGTACCAAAAAGATTATTTAATTCACCATATTTTTATTACTATTTTTTAGTTGGTGATTTAACCACAAGTTGAAATAATATTATTTACTTTAATTTAATTAGTTATAAAAATTAATAGACAAACGTTTTATTAACTTTTCTTAAATTTTATTTTTATCTCATAAATCTGTCTGAAAACTTGAAAATTAACACAAAAATAACTCTTTTTGATTCAAAACTGAACAAGTCATTTATTATCTACGTGTAACTAATTTAAAACTAGTTTATTTCATTCGAAATCTGTCAAATGCCGAAATAGAATATTAAATTTCTGCATTTTAATGCGCTATACAAAATAGCATTTAGTTTACTTAACACTTATAACAAAAATTAATGTGAATGGTGATTTTTGAGAAAGTCTAAAAAACAATATAAAATTTAGAAAAATGCAAAAAAAAACTTTATTTGATTCGATAATGCGGTCCATATAATTTAATGTTTAAAGATTACTTCATGCAAATGTTGACCGTGACTGCGTCTCAAATGGTCTAATTTGGGCGGTTTCTCACGAATTCAATGTTGTCCTCCAATGCGTCACTATATGTACAAACATTAGATTTAACAGAAAATAGCCTAAAGGCGTTAAATCGCACGATCTAGGTGACCAATTGACCGGTCCTGAATGTGAAATAAAATGTTCGCCGCACTCGTCTCTCAATAAGGCCAATGTTACGCATGCTGCGTGGCATGTGGCACCGTCTTGCTGAAACCACATGTCATGCAAGACAAGCTCTGGTATTTTTTGCAAAACCAAAGTTTGATATCATCTCACGTTAGCGCTCACCATTCACAGTTACGGTACGATTCGCATCATCTTTGTAGGAGTACGGTCCAATGTTGTCACCAGGTCAACCGCACCAAACTGTGACTTTTTCTGGATGCATTGGTAGCTCTTGCTCTTGAATGCTTCCGGCTGATCTTCACTCTAAAATCGACTATTCTGCTTATTTACGCACCCATTAAGCCAAAAATGAGCTTCGTCGCTGAACACAAGAACACAAGAAGAAACGTTCGTTTGATAGTGATACAAAACACGAAACGTGCGTCAGCTATTTAAACCAGTGTTGTTAAAAAGCTAAAAAATAAACCTTTAGTATGGCCGCAAAAACAATTATGAAAAATAGTCAAAATTTTTTGATTGAAAAAATGTAAAACTTTTATAAATAATATATTATATTTTTTATTTTTGGCTGCTAACGGTTGCATATACTCGTAACGTCATGGAGTAATCAGTCTTATGCATACGAGGGTTGCCTTTTACATTTCGGAATTATTAGAAAAAAATAAATATTGACCAACGGAAATCGCTTTATTGCTTCTCAAAATATTCTCCATTAAGATCTATACACTTTTGCACGCGTTTTAACCAACATTCGCTCCACTTTTGCAGCTCTGTTTGAGATATCTCAAAACATGCATTCAGAACGTATGAAACGCCTCTTCAGGTGCCCAGAAATGTAGACCGCTGAGTTTACTTTTTTACTTACCGGAATAAATAGAAGTCATTCAGTGCCAGGATAGAAAGATACGGTGGATCGATGTTCGCGCAAAAATGTGGTTGTTTCAGTCAATGTGTGTGTAAGCCGCCTTCTTCTTCATTTCCTGAAAGACAACCGGCAAACAAATAGTTGGTACCACACATAATTTAATGTGGTGAGTTATTCTCGTGGTATGGTGACAAAATGTAAATACTTTAAAAATAAAAGAAATTATGCCAAGTTAAAAAAAAGACCGGGAAACATTTGCTAGGTAGTGCTCAATGCGCAAACAACTTTTGCTAAATTCGACTCATACAGTCGACTGCTGTTTACTTTCGGTATTATACGTGTGAACCCACGACTTATCAACCATCACGATGTCTTAAACATGTTTCGAAAGACCGCTTTTTACATTTTTTCGTCTAGTCGACACGAGCATCCTTTGAATGATTGATAACTTGGTTTTTTACGGTCAAATATTCGTGCAAACTTGAATATCTTGCTGATTCCATTAACAACTTTTAGTTACTTAAATCTCGCGAGAGGACACATGATGATCTCGCATTATCAGTTAGCGCACAACTTCAATAGTATCCGAAACAACAACAAATTTTGGACGAACGTCACATGTTTTAGTAATTTACAGCCTCAATTGAATTCGCCAAACCATCGTTAAACACTGGTGCTTGATGGAACTTCATTACGAAAATTGAATTGACCTCATGATGCCCTGTTGCTGAGTTTATCCACGTCGAAAGTTGTAAAAAATTAACTACCCGAATTAATTCCATTTTGAGTTACTGTAAACAACACAAATAGTGCTCGTATGTCAAAATGTTCTTATTATAATTAACATCAAAAATGTCAAACTTTTCGATACAAATGTAAGTTGCCAGATTGCCCTACTAGGGCTGCCAAATCACCTAACATAAAAATAAACATTTGTATCAAAATTTATGGTATGACGAGGCAAATCGATTTTTACATGTCTGTCTCTTCTGATGAAACTTGATACACACGTTGCTTGGATCACGAGCGCGAACGCTATTGCAAGTAAAAGAAATCGGTAAAAGAACACACACATCTCTCACAGGACGATAATTCTGAAAAGTACGAATAATGCAATAATTTTACAATTAAAGTTCCATTTCTTAGAAATAATCGCATTAAAAGGAAAAAATATCCGATGTGGATGAAGATCTGACTAAACAAAGTTCCATAGAAAGTGAAACTTCCCATATTGGGCACCTTTATTAAACGGGCACTTCTGCAAGTCCCCTCAACTTTTTCCCATACAAATTCACCTACGATAAAAGGGCACTTCAACTAACCAGGCAAAACATCTGACCCGCGCTTGACACAAAATCGAATACTAAAAGCTTTAATCAACAGATGGCAACGAAATTTGGTAGGTAAAGAAATAATGCTACCTCCCATATAAGGGGCCGTCGATTTTAGAATGATCTGAGGATCGAATACTTAAGGAATTTACTTAAAAAAAATTTAGTTTGCTAAAGAATATAAAAGTTAGAGTGAGTTTATTTCCAAGCATGCTAGCATGGGCTCAAAAACAAGCCTACATTACTATAGAATTGGATTTTGGTCCTGCTGTGAAATTGAGGTTTTGCGTTTAATGTGGATATAAGTTGAGTATATAATGCACGGTTCCACTCGAGCTTAATCCTCCCTTATTGTGTTTTTAAACTAGTCTGACCAAAAGCAAATGTTGAGCTAGTAAATGAGTACTGGTCCATTTTTAACTACTTTGTAACTAGTTAATTTCTGTTTGAAAAATGAAGCTTCACATAACATAACACATAAATACCATACTTAAAAGCATTTCTTAACTAGTTAATTTAACCACAGTTATGTAAGACGTATGCAAGCATACACCCACACTTACCATACGCCGCAAGGAATATAAAATGCTGAGACTTTTAAGTGGATTAATGTTTTTTTATAAGCGAATATTTAGAAAAAAGCGAAAATTTTAAATAAACATAGCAACCAGTCAACATCATGTCGCTGACAACCCATAGGTAGCAATGTGTAAAATAGGAAAGGAGGTTATTTTATTTTTATTTTTATTTTTTCCTTGTAAAAATAAATAAAACAAAAAAAATCGTGCATAAAAAATATTGTTGAGTTGATTAAGAAATTTATTGCTTTACTCGTTGTTTACAACTGTCACTCATCAACGTCGTTGACACTGACAGTAGCAGCAACCACAACAATAAAAATAACAATACAAACGCATATACACACAACGCGAGCACAAAGCATTTATATCAGCAAAAGCTATGCCGCAGTTGACAGAAAATGTAATGTGTAAATATAAAGTAAATCTCGGAATTAACGCCTTTTGACAGCCGACGACTATGAGTGCATTCACGTGTGTATATGTACGTTTGTGTGTGTGTGTGTGTGTGTGCGCCTCTATTTGACTGACATATTTGTTGGCATTACAATGGCTTTTTATGAGCATTTCAACTTTTTATTGCATTTTTGCATGTATGTATGTAAATGAGCTCATGAGTTTAGCACTAAAAATAGTCATTGCTCTTGATATGGATTTGTATATACGAGTATGTATGTATATAGTATATATGTGTGTAAGCTTAAAAAATGGTATATAAATAAACTAGCCTTATCTAACGAGATCCCATCACTTATGTTAGGAAAGACAGAGTTCAACAAGTTAATGATTGCAAAATACTTATATACGTATGTACGTACATACATATGTACAATATGTATGTATGCATATATTGATGTTTAAATGCATATTGCATTATGTCAGAGCTATCAGTTGGCGCATGAAAGCAACTGAGTGGTGATAAGGCCTTTACGTGAATATATTCACATATGAATGTTTATAAATATGTATTGGGTTGTAACATAAGATGGTAGAGTTTTGCATTTTGAGTTATTTTACAACGATTTATGTTGTTGTTTAGCAAAGTGTATATATTCATTCGAAAGAGCTTTTCTTTCTTTAGAAAATTGTTTTATTTTTGATAATTTAATTGTTTTTTTTTTTTTTTTTTTTTTGATAATTTAATGGTTTGTGATTTAGAAATGGTATGTTCAGCCCA